CGGAGTGAGAGTCCCCATTTATCTACTCACATGAGTTTTCGAACTGTTGGGTTGACAGGACATGCCCTGGGTAGTAAACTGCAATTATCTGGGCTGAAATGGCTCATTACGCCCTAAGTTCATCTATTCTAAAACATGCATAATATTTTTCACTTCCACTCTGACAGTTTCACATCATCATTGGCCCATCATCTTTTCATATTTCATGTTCCAACTGAACCTGCCCTTGAGAAGCAGAGGTTCCCCAAACTGCTCTCTTTATGTGTATGAAGTTCTATCAAACTTCAGCTGGCAAGACAGGACTGGAATCCAAAAACACCTGGTAAGTAATTTTTACTGTAGAAAATTATAAGCCATAATGAAAGAATGCTACCAACTACAGTTTCAACCACAAACCTTATTTATAGATTTAGTATTCAAACCCTTTGACACCTTTTTCTTGTGGCTTTCGTACATAATGAACAATTTTGGGGAAAATGAAGGTTCTCTTCCTGCACAAAGGACAAATGGAAAATGTGCTGCTTTGTTATCATGTTATCCTTCTTTGACTGTGTGAGAATTCTTGCAAATGTGTTAGGCCAAAGTGATAGAAGCATCATATGAACTGTTGTTACTTACCACTAAAACAAGAAAACACCAATTGGGAGGTACATGCAGTGTGCTGACATTCAGGGTATAAGAAAAAGAACCTTATGCTTATTAAAGATTGAGAGTTGTGTTGTTATGTCCTGTTCTGCCCATATCGGAAAGCCAGCCATACTACCCCAATAGGTTTCTGGGAAAAACCAACTAAATATGCAAACTTAAGTTAGGTAGAACCTATCCTTTCTTTTTGGAGTCCATAATTCACATTCTATAAAGAAGACAGAGGAGACTATAAATTTCCAGATTAGCCTGTTCCTTCAGATGCTCAAGATAAAGTAATGGCTGTTAATTGGACACTTTTACCTCCATCTTCAAAACTCTAGACCCACCACCCCATCCTTCCATGATCTTAATTCCTACTCCTACTCCCTTTCCTCTCCATCTTACCACAAGCTTCAATTCCTTCCCTCTATTGGTCCTAACCTTATTCCTTAAATAAAGTATATCGGAGAAATAATAGTTTGTTTTGAAAAAGCTCAAATAGTATTTCCATACAGCTTAGCAAAGAACAGGACAATCTTATGCATGTCTATTCAGAATACTGTATTCTGAAGTAAAATTCACAGAATTATACTATTTTTCAATACCATTAGTACTGGAATCATAGGAAAGTAACAACCACCTAAAAAGAACCTGCGATAGACAGATGCTGTTGTTTGATGGTGTTAAAGGTATTGTTGCAGGATATAAGCTATTCCAAGCTGCCTTTTGCAACTGACTGATGGTGATTTTGTCAATGTGGATGGTGTACAAGTAGTGCTCCAGATGTTTTGGGATTGTACCCAAGGCACTTATTACTATTGGTACTATCTCTGCATTATTGTTGGTCACACAATCAGCCAGATGTTTACACTGGATTTGGCATTTTTATCCACCTATCAAGTCATTATTATTATTTTATCCCACCTTTCTTATATATAACTTAAGGCAGCAAACATACCTAATATTCTGGAATAATTATCACAAAGATTTCCTTGCAAAACATAAAATGTATCAGTGTTCAGGATTTTAGAGCTTTTAGACATTTCCCCTATGCTAAAAGATCTCTAATATATAGACCCATAGCATGCCTCTCAACAAGATAGAGGTGTTTGGTTTTTAAAACAAATAAATTCAGACTTTTTCATTTTTCCACTGAAACTGATGTGCTTTGAGGATCTATCATAAATTACTAGAGAATTAGAAATCAGTTAAATAACTGTATGAAATAGCTTGCTTTCTGGAATTTGTAGGCCTTAGACAGTATTTAATAAAACACAAATGAGGGGAGTGATTGCTATTACACATGGCAAAGGTTATTCTAAGAAATACATTGCTACAGATTAGAAAGATCACAGCACACACTGGACTTTAAACTGTCACAGGACATGCTATGGTCTCATTCTGCAACTCCCAGAAATCCGAGTCAGACTAGGAAACCTGCTCTAATAAGTGTTTTTCAGAACCAAATTTTCAGGGATACAGGATATTATTATTATTATTATTATTATTATTATTCCTGCCTTTTATATATGTGTGTGGTCAACTCACTTAGATTTATATTTA